TAATAATAATAATAATAATAATAATAATAATAATAATAATAATAATAATAATAATAATAATAATAATAATAATAAATTATTTGACGATGAACACTGAGAGATATAGAAGGTTGATTGAACTTATGCAAATTAGAACCAACGTGGATATCCCAGCAATTAGCGATCCGGATTCATTATGCAAAAGATTCGTTAAAATAAAAGACGTTAACCAGATTACAGCATATCGTATTTATTGGATTAACTTTCGCGAGGAGGCACATCGAGTCAGTGATGAGGACATGAAGTTTATAAAAAGTGCTTCAACTATATCATTTGGTGAATCGGACCAAACGGTGAAAGAGAGATATTATAATTTGGCGAATCAAATACGAGCGAAAATGGAATATTTTGAAAACTAAATGCGCAAATTGCATCTTTTTTTTGGCAAAATCAAAAATTTTATGGCAAAAATCGACGATTATTTTTTATTTTATTTCATAAGTTTATTTGATAACTGATTACGAACAGTTTATCATCATCGTTTTATTTATTTTAATTTATTTAAATAGACACACGCGCGAAAAATTTAATTAAGCAAATTAAATCCCTTGATTATTTAATAAATCCACGTTTCATGTATTCTTTTGTTTGATATCATTTAGCAAAAGAAATTTTTTTTAATAATTTAAAATCGTAATTTTTACTATTTTTGTAAATATTTTTTAAAAATAATAATAAACAATAATAATAACAATAAATATAAATAATCGCACAAAACACACAATAAAATACCCACCATGTGTGAAAAATTTCAAACAAAAAAAAAAGATCATCAAATTTTTTTTACGCACATAATATTAATAAACAACACGACATTTTGTTGGTCACCATTATTTTCAATAACTCTCCTTGCATGCTCTCAATCAAGTTCATTCAGGACATTGTTTGTATCATTTTGTATCTTGCCCCATTTTTTGCGATGCTTTAATTGTAGAAACACTGTTATATTCTATAAACACAATAATTCTAGTAACTGGATACAGTATTTTTATAAGCCAGATACTTCATCAAGTTGACTTTCTGTTAAGTTGACATTTCGAGGTTATAATTTTTCGAATAATTTGTTCAAACAACATAGATGTTTATTATTCTCACGCTCACATTTTTGAACTATTGATTTGTTTTACGTTTTTGTGCGATTAAATTTTAAACTTTGCCCATGTAGTCTTTTTATATAAATAAATAAATAAAAATTATCAAATTATATTTATTACCATGTACAATAAGTATCTCCGCAGTATATACATATTACAACTATTCTAATAAAAATTTTAATAATAATAAATAAAAAGAGCATACTGTTAATATGCAAAGTATATGTTATAAATAAATCTCTATGATCAGGATTATTAGTGCGCCCATCCATAATAAGGATCATTGTCCTCCTGCTTACGTATTAAAAAAACCGGGAGATCGACGGCATTTATAAATTTTCCTCCTATTACAAGTTTTCTTTAAATTACTACAAGTTTTGATAATTTATTAAATATTTTTACAAATTTAACCAACATTATTGGAGTTTGGACACTGCAATTTCAATGGCAATTTTATTAATAATATTATTAAATATTACATTAGTTGTCTTTGCTGACGAAAAACGTATATGGTGTTGGCTCCATTTGAAAATCTTATTGCCGTACTTGGTATTGAGATTATCCCTCTTGGTCAATTGACTTTTTTTTGTTATGATAAATAAATAAATTAGATATTTTTAATGCCTATTTTTTGTGTTACACGACAGATTTTTTAATATAATATCTGTTGTGTGAGACTATTCCTTTAATTTAATTTATACACCAAATAGTTTAAACGGTGAAATCATCTTCGCGATCGATAATAAATAAAGCAACCAATCATCTTTTTCTAATGACTTACTTAATAAATGATTTTTATCAAACAATCTTTATAATCAATAACTTATATATATATAAGACATAGTATATATGCTATATGCTTACACGTATTATTGCTACGTTTAACAATATAATAATATAACGATAAAAACATATGATAAATAATTACTAATTTGAAGAAGAGGTATTGAAACATCAACAATCCCCAAAACCATAAAATCAAAAAAAATGGAAATTTTCTCACGTAATACTCCATTTATTCCACATTTGATATTTATTAACACAATCATTGTTCAATTAACCAATCAATCCCTTGAAACGAAAAATAATGCAATATAATTAAAATTTACCACTGACTAAATATCTCATCATCACAATGAGAACCAATGCTCATCTTCACATTTTTTCGTGTGTAACATACGAAACCAATTAAATAATATATTAATTAATTATATAACACATAATTATAATACAATGAACAATGGTCCATTTTTATGTGATCAGTGTACTATGAGACAATTGATATCATTCATTTTCAATTCCTTCCTAAAAATGATGAACAACATGTTGTCATATATCTGTAAAACAGCAATAAAATAACCTCCTGTATTGTTATCAAATGATAATAAAACTATAAATCACCTAAGATGTCTAATTTAAACAACCCTCTCCATTAAGATAACCCGTGTAAAGTAAATAATAGTTTTAAATATTTATTTATAATTATTTATTTACTTGTGCATTTATTTGATTTGCTCATCAATAATTTAATAAATAAATAAATTAAATAAATTAAATAAATCTTATAAAATAAATTGATTTTAATTAATTTGTTACGTGTCATTGTTTACTGAATTCATATTGTTTAAAGATAAAAGATCAGTAATATATATATGCCGTGATCTATTTTATTTTCAGACAAAAACTTTTATAAAGGATCGATTTTTTCTTTTCAAGTTTTTTTTCTTCTCTTTTCCTCCTTAACCTCTTTCTCTCTCTCAGATATAACAAATATATTTATTTATACATTTTTGACTTATTCCGGTACACATAGCAATTTTATTTATTATTATAATAAAAAATTTGTTTAATGATGAACATCAAAGAGGAATGCGAGGCGTTGATTGAAATAATGCATGTTGACGTTAATGTAAATACAGCACCAATTAATGATCCCAATATATTACGCGAAAGACTGGGAACAATCAAAGATCCAAATCGCCTCAATGGAAAGCACATTTACAGAATTAACTTTCGCGAGGTAGCGCATCGGGTTAGCGAACAAAACGATAACATCATAAACCGTGCTTCTACTCTGTCATATCGTCGATCAGGCCGAGCAGTAAAAGCAAGGTTTAAAGATATAGCAAGAAGAACAAAAAATATCTTAAGAGCTACGATATAACTTATCTTTCGAAAATCGTGGCGAATCAAAATTCTTGGACAAATTGGCGGTTGCTTTTTTTATTTTAATTTATTTATAATTTAAAAAAAATTTAAAAAAATGTTTTTAAAATTTATTATTCGTTTGTTTATTGTTTTGTTTGTTTATTTTTGTTTGTTTGTTTTTTTCTTTGTTATGCTTTATTTGTTTATTTGTTTATTAATTCGATTAATCGTTTTCATTATCGACTTTTTTTAATTTTTTTAATTTTAATTTTAATTTTTCTATTTTAATATATTTTTTGACTAGTTAATTCGCGCAGTAGTAGTAGATATTAATAGTTTCGCATCTTGGCAAAAAAATTTATTTCCACTTTATCGTTATGATCGAAAAATTAATCGATTACGCAAATCGAATCACGAGGGATTAATCATTATCATATTCGTTTCCTTTTACACAAACAAGAAAAGAGTTTTTTAATAATTTAGATTTGAAATCACATTTTTATGATTCCTTTCTATTTTTTTTAAAAATAAAATAATATATATATATATATATAAATATAAATATAACAAATTACACCAAGTTTAAAAATTAATTGCACACAATGTTATTATTGTAGGACTAAAAAAGATCATCAAATTGACAACTATATATTTATTACAAGAAAAACGCACATAATAATTATATCTCAATATTTTGTTGGCCACCTGGTTATTTACTTTCAATTACTGCTTTGATTATCCTTGTTTGTATCTTGCCCCATTTTTTGTGGTAAGATTTTCTTTATCAAACACAAATAATTCTGGTAATTTTGTAACTGGGTACAGCATTTTTATAAGTCAGATGACTTCGCCACGTTGACTTCTGTGTTAAGTCGACATTTTGAAGTTATAATTTTTTGAAGGATTTGTTCAAATCAACATATATGTTTATTCAAGATTTCTATTCTCTATTCTCGTATGTCTAAATGTCAGATGAGGCTGTTGTTCGCTTTTACAATTAATTAATTTCTAAACGTGTGCATGACTTTTATCCCTGTAGTCTTTTTATTTGATTAAATAGCTCTTTCTAAAAGTATAATGCAAGTATCGCCGTAATATATAGTACCAACTATTATTATTCTTCTAATAAAAGAGTTAATATTCTGTCATTCTTAATACGTAAAATATAGTTCTGAAATATTTAGAGATCATTACTCGAAAAAGATTCGACGTATGCATGTCATTGTGATTAATATTACGTAATAACTTGATTTTAATTTAACTGTTAAAGTTGATAAATGACCATTTAATTAGAAATTTGATTCACAAAATCTGCCGATCAAAGCTTATTTTTTTTATTGATTAACTGATCTGCCCTCATAAATTTGTCGATCAAAATATTTGATATTTTACTATGGTGCCTCTAAACACATCAAATGCTGCGCCAGCTGGTAAAATTTTTCCACGAAAATCATTCCTTTTATGGAACGCGATTTTTTATTTTGTTAAAATGCTTAAACAGAATAAAGAAATCAGCATTTACAAAAAGCTCGTGAAACTAAAAAAACAAAAGAAACTATTAAACCTATTGCAGATGAATATATTGATAAGGAGGTGTTTGAAAGTGAATCTCAGATTGACACGACTGGAGAGATTTATCTTTAACTACAGAATTAGAATCTTGGGAAGGTTTACAACAAACTGTGCCATTGGCTGTTAATTCTATTTCACTCTATAAAATTCGTAAATTTTCAAGAAGATGTTATAGGTTATGAATGCCTATAGGATGTGGCTTTTTGGTAAAGCTGCTATTTTTGCAGTTAAAAAGTATCACTCTCATAGAAGAGTTCCCGAATCTGTTTTATTGGAATCTCACGAGTCACAAGTATCTCGTGATACTTCTTTATATCGTGAAAATATTCTAATGATCAGTGATGAATATTTGTTTTTTTTATCTCGCATGATCATTGAGCCTATACATTTCTAAATTTTTGTAAAAAAAAAAAAATAACATGTTTTTTGCAGAATAGAGTTCTTAACTGTAATCCTATCTCCTTTTTGAATATTTGTAAATCTAAAATTACAAATTTAAAATATTTGTAATTAAAATAAATACACAAGTATCTGAAATATCTGAAATATCCAAAATAATTACAAATATAAAATCAAAAATTAAATCTTAATCTAATCAGATTTTAATTTCTGTGAAATAAAATGTAATTAGGTTTAATAAAAAAAAATTTTCTAAAAATCGCCACTCCAAAGATCGACAATAGGAACAATTTCACATATTTATTTATTTGATTTGCAAAAATCATTATGAACTTGGACCTAAAGTTTATGCATGTAATTTCCTTGTTTAGAAAGAAAAGAATTATGACTATAATTATTATACAGTAATTAGATCACTAAACCTAAACCTTAATTGATGAAACAATGAAAGCATCGGCCTTTATGATAGACTATTTTGCCAATGTTATGAAAACTCTCAAGATAACAAATTACACAGTATCATCTAAACCTCAAAGACTTCAACGACTTTAAAAAAATAGAGTTGTCCATAGAGGTACTTTTATAATTGATAAAGAAAAATCAATATATATTTTTTAAATACAAATGTTAATATTATATTAAGATGAAATAAAAGTTGATATAGGTATACCATACGTACTATATAACTGTATAATAGATCTTATTGACAAGGTATCGTTATATTAGATGTTACCCGATCCTGATGTTGTTTAAGAAATTTCTCTTGAGAATTTGCAACGTTATACGTGATAATAACTTTCTCATTATAGCCTTGTTTATTGAAAGTACTCTAAAATATATACTGGAAACAATGATTGGAGGGTGAAAGAATTTAAAACAATGTCAACAAAACTATTAATACCAGTGTTGATACCAATTAGCTTTGTATCCAAATAAAAGGGATTATTTAATGAAAAAAAGAAAAAACCAACTCCACCAATACTACACTCAAAAATATCATGAAACTACATTCATAATGTACAATCATGACTTTGTTCATGTTATCGATGGAAATAAATAATTTTGAAACAAATATATGATTTTTGTAATACCAACAATATAATACAGTAATACACTATATTATCATCATCATATGACGAATGTAAACAATGACTTTGTAATAATGAAGGTAATCTAAAGTAAAATTATTTATAAATTTTGTATCAATATTTAGAAATATTATAGTAATAGGTGGTTGTTTACGTTACATATTAACTAAAAATCATATATTAATATTAATTAGTGTTACTATTCGTTTGCGCCACACTTATTTACATGTTATTTTTTTATATACAAAGTACTTTAATTTTTAGTACTGTATGTATGCCGCACCTTCCCATACCGTAAAAGTAACATTTCCGTATCTATTCCGTGCCATCATATACTAATAATACCGTAATAGGTATGTATTTAACATTCCATATGTATCCTGCATGTACTAGTTAGTACCTTTTTATACAAGTTCCATATGTTTCATATTATTTATAATGGATGTATTCATTATCTTCTCCGTATGTTATTTTCTATTTGATGCCACCACAGTTTCTGCATAAACTTTACGATAAATGTTGGAATTTCCATCAATCTATTTTCTTCATATTTTTTGGCACACGAAAATTATAAATAGTTTTTCCTGTCGTTATTGTTATTAGTGGAACTAATTATGTCGTTAATATTATTATTTATACAAAATAAGAATTATTGTTTTTTTTTTATCATTGTAACTAATAAAGTCTCCATACATACCTCAATTCGTGCAAGCGTGTGATACGAAATTATTTACTTTACTAAGTAAGAAATTAAAGATTCTTTGAAGCAATTTTCATAATCAATATCACACTAAACTCAAACATTCCCCGATTTAGAAAATTTTCTTTGCAAAATTTAAAGAGACGTATGCATGATTAATGATCATTCAAGGTTAAAAGCTATGCGAAGAATGTTAATTGGAGTTATGCTTTCTGATCATGACTCATCGTGCATATTGTTGAAAAATTATACGAATTTTTTTGGGATATTACAACGAATGATGGAGGGAGTTTTACAATCTGACAAATAAATTATTTTACAATGTTAATTTAATTAATAATAGCGTGGGAAAAATATCGCAAAATTAATGATATACGTCGTGTAACAAACACGTTATTATATATACCCAATAGAGAATATGTGGTACAATTTACTATATCGAGTGAAAATGGGTTTTATGTTTTGAGGTCCCCGAAATTTACTAAATACCAATAATATTGATACATATACATCATCATGTTGACTCTGAATACCCCGTACGCACGCAACGATAAATAATAAATGAAAAATAAAAAATAAATCTAGACCATGCAGTTTAAACAATAACAAATAAAAGCGTTATCACTGTATGTAGCATGTTAGTCATATGTTATATAATGATGAGATTATTTATTAGCAATAATCACACTGTTATTGTTACATTAATATAATTTTAATAAAACAATGAAAATGTTCTTACATAATATTTATCTAATAAACAATCATTGTTTAAATCAACAGGGGATTTTATTAATTTATGCAAGCAACACAATGAATGCACACAATGGATGGTTATAAAAATTTTGTCACACAAGACTCTATCAATGACAAAAAAAAAAATTTTTTATATTGGGAAAGTGGAATTTCATTTCGTTGTTTTCAAATAGTACTATTCATTTTCTCTAATTCTTACCTGACATGGCACTTAAATATTAATTCCAGGGTTTAAGTCAACACGACTTGAATAAAAAAAAAAATGCCAAGTTTTTTCCACGTAATGACTTGACTGTTTAATTTTAGTCAGTTGACATGAGTCATATTTATTTTACCCATTCACAAAAAAAAATTTTTTTTACTCTTTTTGCTCAACGGAATTAAAATTCCTTACCTATACATATTTCTTGAACAAGTCACAAATTTGCAATTTCCGTCATATTTACATTATTACTATTACTTCATTGAACATATAATAACGATAACTTTAATTTTTTTACAAATTACATTTACCGTACATATCAAATATCATTATAGTAGACTTTTTTAGCAGTAGTAGTATCTAAAGATATACGGTCGCATCCGTCTATCTGCATGCTTACTATTTTTTCGGCTCTAAACCAAAACTTATGTGCGTGCATATACATCAAAGTTTTATTAAAGCCCCACAAATACATATTGGCATATGCAAATAGGCAGGAGTGGTCGTATTTTTAAAATTAGGCATAATATAAACTATTATTAATAAATATGTATTAATATTATTTGTCAAGTGACAACTTGGAATCCATGACAAAAAAATAATGACAATGATTTTTCTAGCATTGTTCAAGTCATTGATGGATTAGATCTTGAAGAACGGGGGAACCTATCATTTACATCACTTGATTTTATCATCAGATGTTTCTGATAACATTAACAATCAATTGAATCAGCAGTGATTTATCAGCAATGCTAATCCCAGGTGGTGATATCTATAACTAGTCCATTTTTGCCATTGTAAAATAATAGTTACGGTGATCCGCGAATGAATGAGTGTCTCATACATAGTAGAAATGAATATCAAAGATTGGCAAAAAATAATCTAGAAGTGCTGATTTCATTATTAATAAATTTTACTTGATGATCTTTTACAAGAGAATAGCATTATGTTTTTGTACGTCAAATTTATATCCCTTTGTTTTATAAGATGGAATAAACATCAAAGAATATATTGATACATTTTTTTGATTTTTAATAAAAAACTTTACTTTGTAGCACTTGTAGATTTTTCGTTTTTCCTCACAAATTATTATAGAAATGATCAACATCAATTAATAATTTTGTTTGGCTATTAATCCTGACTAAAGTTCCGTCAATAATATTACGCGATTAGTCCTGGTATGTAACGTATCATTCATTTAACAGTGGCTCTTTTTTATGTAATAATGATCAGTGTAATCATATACGACGAGATAATTGACATGGTTCATTTAATTCCTTCCTAAAACGGTCACTAACAAATTATAAAATAACCTCCCCTGTAATTGTTATTAAGTGATAATCAAAATATCAATAAATTACGTGTAATATTTAGAGGATAACTAATCAGATAACAAAAAAAAAAGACGCTTTTGATTGCGTGATATTTTCATTCTAAGATCACACTTTCTTTTTCCCATGATGGAACAAAAACCAAAATATTTATTTGTTGCTTGTCGATAATTGGCGATTATAATATAATTTTTTATTCAATAATAACAATTGGTAAAAATAAAATGGATTTGATTGATTCAATTATTGAACTTGTATTGTTTTAAAGTTCGGCCATATGTACTTCTACGTGGATCCAAAAAAAAACATTATAAAAAGACTGATCAAATTATTTCGAGTTTTTTTGGAGTTTTTCTTCTCAAAATTTAAAAATAATAAATAAGTAAATAATATATTTAACGTACATACACAACAAAACTTATAAGCCATGAATTTCAAAGAGAAATATGTTGCGCTGATGGCGCAGGTACAGTTAAATAATATCAACACACCACATAATATAGATCTAAATGAAATAATAAGGAGAATAAATATAGATGCTGTTCGTCTTAAAGGTATTCATTTGTACCACATCAAGTTTGGGGACGAAGCACACAGAGTGGGCGAAAAGGACACGAAACTTATTAAATATGCATCTGGCAGGACATATGGTCAAGCAGATTATTCAACAAAAGAAAGATATAATCTTCTAGCTGAACGAATAAGAGGACTACTAGAAGAAAGAAGAATATAATTTGTTTTGGGACTAAAATGTAAATTCGTCAAAATATATATTTTTTAAAAAATTTGGCAAAATCGAAAATCGGCGACAAACTTTTTTTTTTTCGTAAATTTATTTTGTTTCGTCTTATCATCGTTATTATTATTTGTTTTCGTATTAAAAAAAGTTAACTAATTACGACAATTGTTTCTCTTTTCGTGAACGGTTTCTTTATTATTATTATTGTTATTATTATTATTATTATTATTATTATTATTTAATTAATATTCGGGTAATTTAGTAAATAAATTATTTTCTTTAAAAATTTTTTTTTTAAACAATTACTAACTGTTAAAAAAACAAATAAATAAAATTTGCTTTATTGGTTAAATTTATTATTATTTAACTAAACAAGCTTATCTTTTGAATTATCTATTATTATCTTAATTATCTTATCTTTTACTTCTTAAAGTATTTACAGAGGCAAACTCTATAACTCGGGCATTTATTTATATACTTAAAACAATATGAGTGGACAAATATTATACTTTTTTATAAATAAGGCATGTTAAATATTATATTTGACATCCGAAACTTAATTTTTTAAGGTTTTGTGCGTAGTCACTCCCTATTTTTCCATACTAAATTTGTGCTTTATCAATTCATTTCTTTTTTTACGTTACATTAAATTATTTAAAATTGCTAGCGTTACATATGTGGACATGTGAAATTGTTCATATAAAAAATTTTTAGCGTTTTAAAAATTTCAGAGCACCAGTGTCCTAAAGTGAAACTGTTGGAAAGCTGGAACTCCTTTATAACTTTCTTATTTGTAAAGTAGTAGTAGAGAGAGGTTGTTTCTAAGAATTATCAAACCTAAAAAAAAAAAAATACAACTTTGTATTATTGTATCACAAATCTATATAGTAGTAAATTGTCATTTTTGGACTTTTCATACTAAGATACTTTATACGTTTTATATAATTATAAACTTTATTTATTTATTTCTTATTAATAATAATAAAAATAACATGCATTTTGTGAAACTGTATGAAACTTAGATGCATAATATGTCTCGATTTAGCTCTGGGAATTAACGAGATAAAATTCAAAACCAAAACCCGTCTATAATAATAGCTATTTACTGTTTTTAATAGATTTTCATATGTCGTATTGTCCGGAATATAAGCACTAAAATTGTTGGTCGTAACCATTTTTTGATTTCCAAAATATTTGTAGTTGTATTTCGAATTGTTCCGAAACGCAGAAACTACACAATTTGGTTATCATATATAAATATGAAAATAAGTCTTATTACTTTTTACTGTTATACGCATACTTACTCACCTCCTGCCCTATAAAAATTATTATTATTAACGAAAAATGTACGGAATACACACAAGATTTACGGAAAACGTATGGAGAATCTTCCAGTGAAAATGCAAAAAAAGTACCGGATACATACGAAATCTATACACACGAAATGCACATGAGATTTATGGAAAACGTACCGACACGGAATTCGTTCTCCCGTATGCATTTCGTATTTAACACATCGCGTAATTCATATAATACGGGAAATACTAGTATTAGTATTAGCAAATACCGTGTGTATTTCGTATTTAGCATTAGCATTAGTATGTGTTCCGTATACATCTCATATCTATCCCATATTTTTTGGCGTATTTCACCGGAAGATTCCGTGCGTTTCCCATAATAATATCAACAACAACAACAACAATAAATAAATTGTGCGTGTCTTACATTCGATTTCTTTATTTCATGTTTATAGAAATTGTGCCTAAATATTTTGGAACTTTAATAAGCGCCAGTATAAATTTGCATCACATATATTTTTAAATTATTTTTACATAATAAATATATAGAAAGAAATTTTTTATTTTGCCCAAACAAATGATCTTCTGATCCATCAATCGCATCATTAATATCACACTTTTTAAATAATTTTACAATCATTTCTTTTGGCATTTCATTCCAAACGTCAAGAATCCACTTACAAATAACATTATGCTCAGGCTTTCTTGAATTTCCACTTCTGCTATAGATGGGTTTACCGAACTTCACTTTTCACAAAGTCTATCTTTGAATAGTTTGTTAATACAAACATCAAACGGTTGAACAACAGCTATGGAATGATTGCTAGATCAGTATTTTCATCTTGTGCAATTTTTTTTGATTGGATCCGTCTTGTGACCTTCAAAGCTATTCATAACAAGCAGCGCTTTTTTTCATAATTCCATTAATTATGGATTTTCTTTTCCACAACTTATCAAACAAAGCTTTCATTCCAACTTCATCTACCATTCTTTTTTCATGCATTAGTACGACAATTTGAGGAGGCAAGATTTTTTGGCATTCATTTACCTTTAAAAACAACAATTGGTGGCAATTTTGTATCATCTGCGAGGATTGTAAGAACACATGTAAAACGATTTTTTTTATTTCCAATTATTTGAACCTGCAAGTTTTGCACCATGTTTATCAATAGTTGGATTTCCAACTATACATAAAGTCGTAATGATTTAATTTCGGGGCCGAGATTTATTTTGGTCATTTTGACTTTGACTCCCAAATGTCGAAAAGGTCGAAATTATGACATATCACATGATTTATTATAATTAATATTTCCAAAATTAATTGTCTCGAGAACAAGTGATTCAAATTTAACGAAATGCGGCTCATTAGAATAGTCTTATAAAGAGGATTCGAATAAAGATGCTTTAATGTTTATATCATCAATAAATGGTGAGTTATTGTAATATATGTGGTAGATCAAAGTATCTTACATTAGACTCACATCATTGAGAGAATTCGAATGGTAGTTGTTTTATCCAAAACAGCCGGATTATTGATCGAGCTATGACAATTTGAAGCTTTGATTAATTTTTCTGTATATTCAGCCAGTCGTATGATGTAATTTCGGCTTTCGATCTTTGAGTTTTGACTTTGACTTCATATATATTTCCAACCATATCAAAATAAACAGGAATTTAGTCCATATTTCCAATTTCTAAAAGTCGATATTCAAATTGTTTTTGATTTTTTATAGAAATTCAGAAATTTGACATCAAGTTGAGCAGGAAGCTTTTGGCCAATTTTTGTTTTACGTCGCATAGCAAAATAATCATGCCTTATAAAAAGCCATAAAACCAACATTGTGAAGCACAAAATCTTTCACTGGAACTTGGATGATTATCAGCAAATTGATTTCTGAAAAGTTCCTTCATATAAGTTTTACGATTTTAGGAGTTATAGCAATTCCATCCTGTCAAAATTCAAAAATCCATGCTTTTAAGTTAGCTTCAGCCTCATCATATTCTTCCTAAATTATTTATTCCTATTGTTTTGACAATGAGAAATCATTGAGTGGTCAATGGTAAAATGGTGCTCAGCCGATCTTAAACATGTTGTTTTGCATGTTGCAAAACTTGGAACTTTTCAGCAGTGGAGTATGAAGAACATTTGACTTTTGACATTTCTGTGGGAAAAATGAATTAATTTAACACAGATGATAAAAAATAAGGAAATAAATGTTAAAGTGGTGGTTATATTCCAGCAATACAGTAATAACAATGATCATTGCTATTTTAACTATATAGAAATAACTTTTTTTAACCAATGATCACCAATGATCGCCAGTACAACCTATGTGAAATTAAAATATTATGGAGTGGGGTGAAATTCTGATTGGCTAATTGGAATTTCACACATGTAAATTTGAATTTCACATATGTGAATTGCGAATTCACATAATTTCATTTTCACGTACAACAGCAGCATGGACATTCATTTATCACATAGTGACAAAATTGAATGCATATCTTTTTTATGCTATGACCCTTCACATAATGAAATATCAGGTGAGACTCAACAGTGTATTTTCAATTGTTTTAAAATAGAAAAAGCTGGTTATAGCACAAGTGATTAAAAACTACTTGTAAAACAATGATGTTTTGCTTGAATATATTTTTCGTTAGATAAAAGGCTTGGACAAAAAGATCAAGAGAGATCATTGATATTGAAGGATTTCAATATGTACCAAATTTTTTCAATTTTATAAACATAATTTTATACAAAAAATAAAAAAAATATTTATTAAATTTTGAAAGGTAATCCTCAAAGAAAAACAAAACTAGATTATAAACTAACATATAGAAGGTAAAGAAATAATATATATAACACACACATATATACACACATATATATACACATACATATAAACTATTATTAAAACAACTATTTTTTTATATTATTTCAAAGATGACAATTCTCAAAGAAAAAAAAAACTGGAAAATAATATATATTATATACATATATATATATATATAATTATTATTAAAAAATTATTTTTATTATTTTTTTCAAAGATGACAATTCTCAAAGAAAAACAAAACAAAACTGAATTATAAAATAATATATACGTATATATTGTAAATTTGAATTTCACATATGTGAATTGCGAATTCACATAATTTCATTTTCACGTACAACAGCAGCATGGACATTCATTTATCACATAGTGACAAAATTGAATGCATATCTTTTTTATGCTATGACCCTTCACATAATGAAATATCAGGTGAGACTCAACAGTGTATTTTCAATTGTTTTAAAATAGAAAAAGCTGGTTATAGCACAAGTGATTAAAAACTACTTGTAAAACAATGATGTTTTGCTTGAATATATTTTTCGTTAGATAAAAGGCTTGGACAAAAAGATCAAGAGAGATCATTGATATTGAAGGATTTCAATATGTACCAAATTTTTTCAATTTTATAAACATAATTTTATACAAAAAATAAAAAAAATATTTATTAATCTTGAAAGGTAATCCCCAAAGAAAATCAAAACTAGATCATAAACTAATATATAGACAGGTAAAGAAATAACATTTATAGCTATTATGCATGCATACCTAGAATTAAGCAATATCAAGGATGCCATTTTTTGAATTAATATATAGCATGTTGTCCTGATATATTAATAGTTCAAATTATAATAAGTTACTATATATATAAATATTTTCTTCAATAAAAATCTTAGTTCATTATTATATGGGGTATGCTGTAACAAAACCAAACAAAGTGAACATTGGTATAACCAAGAATTTCAGGGATCAAAATTTAGTCATTTGTAATGTGATCATAATTAATATCCCATTTGTTATCTTAAGTGATAAAGAACTATCCCCCTATATAAAAATAATTAATATGAAATTAATTTACATCAGATCTACTATGGAACCCAAGAATTATAGTACAAGCAGAAACATTTTGAAGAAAGAACAAGAGGAGAAAATTGCTCCTTATGTTTTCAAAATAAATGATACCAAGACACTGGAAGATTATCTAAAAAAAGAAAGGATTACTTATGAAATTTACCAAGATGAAAGAAAAATAATAAACATAGGTAATACTTACAAATGGCTTTGGGTCTGTGTATTTTCCTCCCATGCAAGTACTCTGACAATTCTTTAACTTATATTATTTATGTATTTTTCTATCATTAGTTGAATTAAAATAAAAATAATTTTCTTTTGTCATTTAATTCATTTGTCTGTAAAAAAAATTTTTTAATTCCAAGTCATGTGCCTACTAATTTATCATTGGTCCAAATTATTTATAGAAACAATTAATTGTATATAGCAATTATGATCTCTAAATCAATAAAAAAATTTTTTTTTTCTAAAATTAACTTTTATGATCTTTTTTTTTTTTAAAAAAAATGGCAACATACAAAGATATTAAAGAACAATTAGAAAAAGCAGAAGAGAGATTGAAGAAGGCAGAGAAGAATTTAGAAGAATTTATGGAAGATGAGAATTTGAATAAGTTTAAAGAAATGTGGGAGATGGAGGATTTAAGGAGTGAAAAAGAGAAGTTGAAGAATAGTAAAGAGAGGTGGGAGAAGCAGGTGGAGGAGTTGCAAAAAGCATTGGCAGGATTTGATAAAAAGGTAATGAACAAATTGTGTAAAAAAAAAAAATTTTTTTGTTCATTCCGTTTGTTTATTTGTTTATTTGAATGATGATTTGGTATACTGTTTATAACATTGACTAACTTATATATTGTTCTTATAACTTTTTACTCATTCGCCATTAACCCAATTAATCTTTTCCTCTATTTATTTATGACTTTTTAATAATGTGAATTAACTTGTTATCCTTGCTATAATTTACTTGTTATAACAAGGTAAGTTGTTGCTAACTTGTAAAAATAATAATTTCATACTTTAACTAATTTGTATATTATTTTCATTTTTAATCAACATTGTTTTCTTGTTTGTCCTGAATTCATACATTAAATGATCAGGTAAGAATAATTTTTATGACAGATATTTGTACTTGGGAAACAAGAACTGACACATGGTTCTACATTTCCCTGCTCCCACAACATTACCAGAAGATTATGTCTTTCAATCTTGCAGTGATTCATTTTTTTCACATCTTCCAACAATTGTTGAAAACAACAACTGGCTTGAATTTGCCTACCCTATTCCCTTGACACAACATCAAAAGCTTTACATTCGTTCCAGCTATAAAGTCATTACTAAGAATGCTTTATCAAAGGCTAATCCAAATCATCGCAAGTATTCCATTATCAGTGGAACCCCTGGAATTGGAAAATCTATGTTTCTCTTTTATATCTTTTGGCAATTGGTGAAGGAAGGAAAGTGTGTGCTATTTGTTACCAGAGAACCTGATATATACTTTGATGGAAATTCAACATTTGAATATCCTCAATATCCTTTGCCTTCAGATCATCAATTCTGGACATTTGACTTATGGTGCCTTGTTGATTCAAAAGATCCAACTAACATTCCTGGATTTCCTGTTGATGCCTGTTCTGTCATTTTGTCAATTACCCCTCTAAGTGATTTTATTAGTGGATTCAGCAAGTTGGTTCCAGCTCCTCCTATCTTTTATATGCCTTTATGGACTAGGGAAGAATTGGAAGTTGTTGCACCCCTTTACTCAAATGTAGCTAATATTTGGATGAATCGCTTTGAACTTTTAGGTGGTGTTCCTCATCTTGTGCTGGAACAAACTGAACAAGATCCAACATCAATTCTGATTTCAGCTTGTAAACAATGTGAACTGGAGGACTGTATCAAGTTGGTTTCAATTCATTCTAAATCACACCCAAAACAAAGATTATTCAAAAACTTGTTCATCTTAAGTCAAGTCCACCTTATAAAGATGCAGAGTCTTCTTGGTTCTTGTGCTGGAAATCCTCTTGTAGCAGCCCTTTGTGGATACATCTTTGAACCCCATGCCATTGATTTATTGGAATAAGGTGGTACCTTCCAATGTCGAGAACTTGTCTCTGGTAGGAAAAGTCTCAAGTCTGGTTCTTTGACCTCAAGATTCCAAAATCAAGACTCCCTCCACAAGTTGTTGACCGTGTTGAAGAAAACCAAACTCACAATCAATTGTACATTCCCAAGACTAAAAATTATGCTGCCATTGATGCTTAGATGCCAAATTTTGGTGGTTTTCAAATGACTGTTGGGAAAAATCATGACATCAAGGGTGGAACATCATCTGATTTGGAGAAACTAGGTCCTCATGGTAACAAACTATACTTTCTACTCCCACCTCTTCACTTTGAGTCATTCACTAAGAAAACACCACAAACAATCAATCAGTTTGCAATTCTTATTCCCTATCCTGAAAAAGTTCAATAAGTTGTTATATTGGCTGGATAAACATCATTAATTTGCTACATATTTTATTTCAGAATTTAACTCTTTACATGATATGCATTGTCATATTATATATAAATATTCTTTAAAAATCTGTTAGTTACAAATAATTTGAGTATGAGTTATGTTTGAGTAGTTTATCAAATTATTAATAGCATACTTAACCCAGTATTGTCATAGAATTTTTCACTAATATTTTTGAATTAGGGTAATATTATATACAGAAAGGTTCTTTTTATGAAATATACAGAACCTATGTGACAAATAAGGATTAATTCTTAGAGTTGGTAAACATTGTGTAATTCCTGCCACCCCCAGCCCACAAATTTAATCATCACGTCTGTGATAAATGTCACATTGGTTTTACAAAAATTTTGAGCTACAATTTAGTTTCCTTTTTTATAGAATGAATTGCTATTTTTGGAGGGTTCTGTATATTTCATAAAAAGAACCTTTCTGTATATAATATTTTCCTTATAACATTTATTGACAATGACACAAAATTATTAATTGTTGCACAAGATCATGGAAATGACCAAGAAACTGTTGATAAAGCAAAGCTTATTATTAAAGTTATAATTTGGGATATTTTTGGTACCAACAACTTTTACCAACAATTTGATACTGACAAGGATTCAAGTTTAATGTGTTTAATGTATGCAAATGATAAAAATCTTTTTGCTACTAGTTTTGGTAGAATTTATTCTTTAGATAAAAATGGTAATTTGCTTCCCTTGTTGGATCATCCTGACATATCTCACCTCTTGAAAGGTAATGAAATATTACAAACTTGTTTTGACAATTTGTCACAACTTCAAATCAACAACAGTAATGACAATGAAGATTATCATATGATTTACAATTTGGATAAAAGTTTTAGCAATATAAAAGATAATAAAGGCATTTTAATAGTTAACAATATAGAACCTTGGGATAACATGAAAGAGTACAAGAAAATTTCTGTATTTCTAAATGATGAGAGAACAACCCAACTTATCATTGGAAAAACAACAATTCAGGTTTGGCAAATAAAAAATACAAAAGTAAAGGAGACAAAAAAAAGAGTATTGAAATATATTTGGTCATCACTTGGATATAATGGATTTGACATGGAATCAATTTCAATTGACAAAAATAAATTTTCTTTGAAAATCTTGTTGCACTCACTCAACTTACCAAACAGTACTAGTCAGCATCTTATTTATTACCCAAATAATCCAAACACAATAAAAGATGTTTGCGAAGCACTTGAATTTCTTCATATTCATAAAAATCTATGTGTTGGTCCAAAGAATTACCAAAGGTTTAAAGATGTATTCTATAATACTGAAAAACTTGCTTATAGATGTTTCAAAAAATCACCAAGTTTATGGAGGTTGAATGATATTCGTCATGATATTATGGCTAATTTGATCAGAAGTCATAATAATTCTTTGATCAAGAAAATCTTATTTAAAGATAATGAATTTGGTGATAGTAACCAAGCCTTAAAAAATGATAAACATTATTTGCATACACCACGTTTATATGGATGGCAAAAACAGAGAAAAACCACTGATTTGGAATTAGCAATTAATGATTCTAAAGGTAATTATTTTAGAAGATATATTATTATAATTAAACATACACTCCCTGGACAAAAGTATCTGGACACCTGTTTTTACTAATTACACAAAAACGCACATAATAACTATACATAAAATTTTGACAAAATTTGGCTTAGGT